ACCAGCCACTCCTCGGAAGGAAGGTTGGGCAATCCTACTTCCGTAGTGATACTGCCTTGGAAACCCAAGGAGGGGTCGCTATGAGTCGGAGCCGACTCGACGGCAAACAACAACAACAACAAGTGACAAGGTGATGACTTTGCTACCTCACTCAGTATTTTGTCACCTCCATGGCTTTTCTTACCTGCTCTTTCTGAATCTAGGTATGCTTACACTTAGCACAAGCCATTAAGTTGAATGTCAAACTTCAACAATTTGTTCTGCATCTTTAGTTTTCCAAAACCTTCCAAAGGCATGATATGGTGGTACCTTGTTGCCATCGAGTCAACCCCAACTCATATGATGGTATGTGATTTCAAACTTTATTTTGGAAAGATGAAAAGATTAGACTTGCACAAGAACAAAACTGAAAATTATCAGAAAGGGTTACAAATTACCTGAAGAGGAAGTGTTGAAGCTTACAGGGTAGATCTGTAAAGAGACTGCCTGAGGAAAAGAGGAACACTGGAAACAAGTCCTCAAGAATAATGCAAATGTTCTGTCTCTTCCACGTTGTCCTTCCTTTTCAGGGAAAAGAAGGTGCGTTCATGGTTAGAAATTCCAGCCAGGCGGGGATGTACACAGTGTCCTTATTCAGTAAGGCTGTCAAGTAAGTATCACGGGGCCTTATTTCTTTTATTTACAATGTTCCTTGAACATGCTGGTCACTTAGTCATGTTTTGGGATAAGAACTACTTTTAAAGGCCAAACTGTGTATGTGTGTGTGTGCTTTGGGTGCAAATTTACAAAGCAGATTTGTTTTACATTTAACAATTCATGCACATTTGATTTCACACCCCTATTACCATCCCCAGCCATAAAAAACTCTCCTCCCCTCCCGTCCCTGTGACTACCCGCCTCCCTGTGCCCTTCTTAACTAGGCACTCCTGTTTGTGCAGCTTTCCCTCGGTGAATGCTGCCCCTCTGGGGTCTCATGGCTGATTGTTCTAAGGGGTGCATCACCCCGGGATAGGTATTGTGCATGTACATCTTTCTACTATTGGGCTGAGTAAAGGCCAAAGTTTTGGATCAAAGTGTTTCTGTTGGATTTGAGCATTTGTAGGTATCTTTTTATTCCCCTCCCCTTACACATCACAGAAGTTGTTGGCTGGGTGATTTTCTCCTGTCCACCTCCCGGCAGCAGCAGAGTAAACACAGTTTAAAAAGTTCTCGGTGACTCCCTTCCCTGCAGGCCTAAGCCCAGACAAAAAGAATAATAGCAACGGAAACTGACTCTGCACCCTTAGCTCCAGCCACCTGCTGAGCTGAAAAGCCTGCCCCAAGGTCCTGTTTTGAAGCCTTTCTAGATGGAGCCAGAGTTCATGGAAGGCTGAATCAGGAGAGCTGTGTGTCCTGGACAGCTTCTCTTTGGGGCGCTGTCCTCTTTGGGTGGTTAAGAGCACTGGTTTGAAGCCACACTTCTGCGTTCAAATCTTAGAGTAAACATTTCAGGGCTTTATGGCACTGAGCAAGTTTGTATACCTCCGTGCCTCAGCTTCCTCATCGGAAAAGGAGGCATAATTATGACTATCATTCTGTGGATAAAGTGAGTTAATTCATGTATTGGCTTAGAACTGTGCCTGGCACTTAGTAAACACTTACAAACTAATAGCAATCAGTGTTGTTGTTGTTGTTGTTGTTGTCGGGAAAAAGTAGTTCTCTCTGCCCCACTGATCCCCCAACACTTAGGCTTATGTTGTTGTTGTTGTTGTTGTTTTGCCATCGAGTCGGCCCCGACTCATAGTGACCACTCCTTGGGTTTCCGAGGCAGTATCACTACAGAAGTAGGAATGCCCAACCTTCCTTCCGATGTCCTACAATCATGTCATGCAAATCAGCATCACCAGCATCAGGATACCCTGCCAGAATTTTATAAACCACTTCCCCTTTAGTTGTGCGCTTTCTTCCTTCTAACCACCCTGCGAAGCAAATAGGCAAGTGGTTTGTATTTGCATCATTTTACAGATGAGCGGATGGAGGTTCAGAGTTTAAAAGGACCCTCCCAGAAAGCTCTTAAGTGACCGGGCCTCCAACAATGGAGTTCACTTTCCTTCAACCACACCTACCCCTGTGTCTACACTGAAACTCACAGTGCATTGGAATGAGAATCTGGCCAAACCTTAATTAAGACCATTTGGGAAAAAAAAAAAAATTTCCATGTGTGCGACCCCACACTTGTTGATTTATTTATGCAGGCACCTACAAAAATGAATCTGGAGTCAACAAACTTGACTAGAAGAATGTCTGATGTCAGATTTGGCCAGATTTTGGCCAAATCTTTGTAATAATTAAGTGATTGAAAAGTTACTTCATTTTTTATTCCTTTTCTAACTATAAATTTGTGATAATATATATATATAAGAAAACCTGTGCAATTCTGTGACATTGATGTTGTTATTTGGTGCCATCCAGTGGGCTCTGACTCATAGTGACCCTAATCCTATTTCAAATTGTCCCACCACCGTGAACAGAAACGTAGTGGCTCCTAAGCAATGATATACCTTTCCTCTCCCTCCCACCCCTGGTAACTACAGTCTCTATCAAAAAACCAAACTCACTGCCACTGAGTCCATTCCAACTCATAGCAACCCCCATTGGGTTTCCAAGGCTATAAATTTTATGGAAGCAGACTGGCTTTGAGCCAACCACCTTTTGGTTAGCAGCCAAATGCCTTAACCACTATACCACCAGAGTTCCTTTCTGAAGTCTCTATTTCTTTGCCTATCACATATAAGTAGGATCACACAATATTAGTCCTTTTCCATCTGATTTACTTTGTTCAGCATAGTGTTTTCAAGGTGCATCCATGTGGTGGCATGTATCGGGACTCAATTTCTCTTTATGGCTGAGTAATATTCCACTGTGTGTATAGGCCACAGTTTGTTTATTAACTCATCTGTTGGTAGACACTTAGCTTGTTTCCAAGAAGTTTTTCTATTTTAAGAAATATTTTTTTTACAGAGCACTCCCTCCAACTTGGGATAATGGGATGTACACTGAGCAGTCATGTGGCATTTTCCAATCTCAGAAGCTGCATCCCCAGTGTGTCTCATGTACTAGGTGGTACACTAATACCTCCCTACCAGTTAAAACCAACCCAGTAAGAACTTGGAGAAGACTTGGTTAATTGAAAAGCTAAAGTTCTGTGGTCCTCTGGGCCTGCAGTTTTGGCCAAATCTGATATCAGACATTCTTCTAGTCAAGCTTCTTGACTCCAGATTCATTTTTGTAGGTACCTGCGTAAATAAATCAACAGGTAGATAAAGAATCAAATGAAAATACTAGAGCTGTCTCTCACGGACAGCCAGGCACTGTGGGAGAGAGATCCAATGGATCTACCGACTCAGGAGCGTAGTACTGGGGGACACCAGACTCAGTTGGCACAACAAAATACATAAAAGCCTTGTTCCTCATCCTACATTGGTGAGTAGCTAAGATGCAGCTAATGGTCTCCTCTTGTCAGAAGTGAAGAACAGTGCAAAAAACCAAGGGCATTTGGAAGCAATCAGCCCTAGGACATGATGGACCTCAAGACCAGAAGAACTAGATGGTGCCAGGCTACCAATGCCAACCATTTGGGAAAGAATCAAATCTGGAGATCCTGGATAGAGTGAGAGGGAAAATGTGGAACTAAATCCAAACACACAATAATGACCAGAATTACTGGTCAGATGGAGTCTGGTGGGACCCCCAATACTGTGGCCCTGGGATACACTTTGGGCCTGGAATCAAACTCACTCCTAGGGGTCGGCTCTTAGCCCAATAGTAAATAAGACGTACACACAGACCACTCAACCCAGGGTGACGCACCCACATACTATGGTGATGCATCCCTTGGCGCAATCAACCACGGGGAACCAGAGGGGCAATGTTCGCACGGAGGAAATGCAGCACACACAGGAGTGCATAACTATGAGAGGTATGGGGGGGGTGGTTACCGGGCAGGGAGGGGAGGAGACTGGGTTAGGGTTGGGGATGGTAAATGGGGAGTGAAAGCAAATGTACACCAAATGTTGAATGTAAAACAAACTCTGCTCTGTAAACTTGCACCTAACACACACACACACACACACACACACACGAATCAAATGAAAATAATCCCAGTCAGTAAGCACCAATTAAGAAGCCAGTTGCGTCAGGTTGATTCCGACTCCTGGCGACCCAATGTGTGTCAGAGTAGAGCTGTGCTCCGGCGGACTTTCTCCACAGTGGCTGATTTTGCAGAAGGGGATCACCAGGCCTTCCTTCTGAGTCACCTCTGGGAGAACTCGAACCTGCAACCTTTTGGTTAGCAATCATGGGTGTTAACCATTTGTACCACCCAGGGACTCCGTCAACCAATACAGAGAGTTTCTTTTACAAGATGCCATCAGTGAGCTTGAGTGAATCTCATGTTACCTCCAAGAGCCAATTGTTGTTGTTATTATGTGCCATCAAGTCATACTCTACTCATAGTGACCACCCCTTTGGGTTTCCGAGGTGGTATCACTATGAAAGTAGATTGCCCAACCTTCCTTCCGAGGAGTGGCTGGTGGGTTTGAACCG